CGGTGCGATTCTAAAAACCTTATATTTACCGTACATTAATAAAAATGATAATGAAATAAATATTTTGTTCACATAAATAATAATAAAATGATATATAAATGTTCATAAATCATTAATCATGTTGTCATAAAAGTATTGTTAATGTGATTATTTGAAGTTTTGACGACATCACATTCACGTAATAAAGTATTTTCAATATTAAAATTTATATTTAGGTTCAATAATCAATTTGGTCTGGTCAAACTGATACATAACTTAATTACCTCGGACCAACCAAGTTATGTCAAGTTTTTTGACTATTTTAAATATCACCTAAAAGTAATTCAATCAAAGTGAGCAGTACCCTAATTCAATCACCCGATTGATCCAAAGTAATTTCCTTATTTTCTTTAAATATAATATTTAATTTTATGAAATAAAAATATTTTATGATTCATATGTCTACACCAAATGATAGTATATTAAGATTATAAATTATATATCCAAAGATGAACTATTTATTTTTATTTTATGCATATTAATAAAAAATAAACATAGTAATTTTAAAAAAATTAAGATTAATTGATTGGGTATGCAATTTAAAAAATATTTTTAGCGTTCAATATATATATATATATTTAACATGATTGAATTTTTGGATTAGAATATATATATTTAAAATAATTTTATTATTAAAAGTCAAAAAGAAAAGATGCCATAAAGATTACAACTTTGAAAAGTTTGTAACCATTAATTTATGAACCCTCCGATTTTAAATGACTTATAATTTTTGAAACATGATACATGCATTTAAATCCCATTAATTTAGGAACCATCTAATTTTTTGATAATGAATTAAAATTAAAATGTAAAATGTAAAAGTTGCTGAAAATAGTATATAATAAATGTGGTTGACTTTTCCTTACTACTATTTATTGTAAATGTTAATTCTTTATATATATATATATATATATATATATATATATATATAGATATAGATGTATGAGAGGCCCAATTTTTTATCAAGGCCCACCTAAACCAGTCGTTTCTACTATTAGGTGGGCTGGGTTCGAAAAGATTGTGAGGGCGAAAACTTTAAGTCCAGCAAAAGAAAACATAAAACTGCGATTCCCACAAAAGCTTGCATAAATTCCAAATTGTTCTAATCAATTTGTTAATCTGCTATGTTGTGCCAATAACATACAAATTAGAAAAACATCAAATCCAATCCATTCTCATCACAATCACATGGGCCGAAAATAGAGTTCAGGAACATTTAAGCTAGGCAAATATGAAACTCTCTTGCAAATTCATCCATAATAAACAGCAAAATTTCCAATCGGATGTTTTACACAGACCGTAGTTGGGGCCGGCGAGGGGCGAATGCGGCGGCTCTGGTTTGACGTTCGCCGAGTGTGGTGCTGCTGCGTCGGCCCTCGATATCGACCACCGATCCGATTCGACTGATGCATCCAGATTTGTTGTGGCTCTGATTTAACTGGGGCGACCCAAAGGAGAAAAAATCTGAAAAGAATTACGGCGAGAAGCTTTTTCAAGTGTTGGGGGCGGATCTGTTCTTGATAAAGATTTTGAATTTAATCAGTCGTTTGATGAGCAGAGAAGTAGAGTGTCGTTTGACGACCGTCTGATGAGCAGAGAGGAGAATTTGATAGCGAAAAGAACCGTCAGAAAAATAATAATAGGAAATTAATAATAGAATCAGGAAATCAATTAGAAAGATAAATTAGTCTTAGAAGGATGTTAAAAAGGACATACAATCAGTAATTTAGACTAAATAATATACAGGTGTAAAGTTTGTTTTTTTCTTTTATTTTATTCAACTTTATTTAGTAACATTTTTTACCCATTTTTTAACTATTTATGATAGAAAATCATTACAATAAGTTTAATTAAATATAATAATATATATTTTATTATTATACAAATCTCGTGCGATGCACGAGTAAATAATATTTAATAATATGTATAAATTTAAAATAATGTGATGCAATTTACCTACATTAACTTATTGAAAATGCTACATAAATTTAAGTTGTGTAAAAATATATAAAACATGTCTATCAAAAAGTACTTAAAATGTTATATATGTTAGATATGTTGTAAAAGTTTGGCTTTCAGATATGAACAATTCCATTTTGATCTGACAATCATGGTTTCGGTCAAAGTACATATGCTAGCAGTTTATTTATTATGCAATCATACTACTTGTCTTACATTGAGATAGTGTGGTTCGTGGTGTCTCGAACAGAAAAGTCACTTATCGGTTCCTTGTAAGACTAAATTATTTGTTCACAATCTAGACTGGCAGTGAGACCCCACTTGGAAAATACTGTAGTTATTCTTGATTCAGTTGATCTTTGACTGGAGAACTACACTAGTACTTATGTTAAATATTGAATAGGACCGTGGAAGGCTAAGATTATAAGACTCACTGATCGTTGTTGTAATATCGACCTTCAATTATTGATGCGTTCTCTAAAACTGTAAGATAATATAAAATAGGCGTGTATATTCATTACTTGTTTATTTGATTTATCAGAGGTGATTCCTATTCCGTTAGGATGACGTACTCGATACTTTGGTAAACGATGATGTTTATATGACGCGCTATTATAAATTATTTACGGTCACTATGTTCCAGTGCGCTGGATTGATGACGTCCCCGAGATGAGCTCAGGAAGGAATATTATGTCAAGCCCTGCAGGCGGATGTGTATCCGACATAATGATTAAAGATCTGAGTGGTACTGGTTTCGGAAATGAATAAGAAGTTGATTAATTATTTTGTCAGTAATTTAATTAATCAACAGACGTTATATCTTAAACATCGAGAGGTCAATCGATCAATAAGATTAATAAATATTAATCAAGTGGAGGTTTGATTAAATTAATTAAATTGGAGCCAAATGGGGAGAGCAATAATAATATTCTAGTGAGATATATTATTATTTAATTTTATTAGGATTTTAGAAATTAATTTTATTCCATATTTAATATTCCAAGAGTTGGGGAATATTCCTTCTAGAATATTACGTAGGATTAGGAGACTTGAGAGTCTTCTAGAAGGTGATGTTAGGAGGAAGGAATCATGACCTAATTGGGATTAGCTTATGGAGTATAATTAGGATTCGTTGGCCTACTAGGATAAGCCCATATTTGGCACATCCTTAAGGTCCCTAATGGAGCTTATAAATATACCATGTCCCAACCTCTTGAAATGTACTAGAGAGACTCGATTTTAGGGTTCCTATATGGAAGAGGAGAATCGTGTTTTTCATATATTTGAGAGTTAGGGCGTTTCGATTAATCGCTCCACCAAGATTAATCGAAGTAGGTGTTTAGGTAATTCATTAGAAGATTTTAAGGTGATATTTATCAAACCTTGAAGATCCAAATACTCTGGCCACTACTCGCCGCCGACATACCTCGCTCAACCAGGACTCCTCGCTCGACTAGGACTCCTCGCTCGACCAGGACTCCTCGATCGATCAGGACTCCTCGCGCCTCAGGAAACGTGCCGCATACGATCGGCATGACACAGACCCTGCTCGCCTAGTCCTCACAGGCATAGGAAAGCCGCAGCACGCGACCCGCACGCACCCGCTATTCCTCGCCTGATCAGGACTCCTTGCGCGTATAGGAGACGTCCCGAGAACGTACCCGCGTGAGCCCAGACACCGCACGCCTAGTCCTTCCAGGCATAGGAAAGTTGACACGCACACAATCCGAACCCGACCAACTTGATCCGGTGATCCGTTCGTGATTCAACACTCGACTAGAGACGACAAAGACCAAACCCTTCAACCGATTGGGTTGTGGTAGACAGACGATCTCCATCAACGGAAATCAGAAACGACTCAGAGTCGGCAAAAAATTTTAAACCGTAAGTCCTAATCCTAACTATAGATTCCACTGCGTTAGGATTTATTATTCAATAGATTTGAATGTGCACATTGTCGACGTTCCTAATAGAACCCAACAATATAAACATGTATAGCATTAATAGCTAAAAAGTTTTATACTATTATCGACAAATGCGTGAAATTACCTAAAATAACACTTATTTGTTTCACGCTATTATTTATTTAGATATTCCGTGAAATTTATTTTTTTAATAAATTTATAAATCAAATTTCTTCCTGAGACATGTATAATTTCTTATTTTAATATAAATCATGACAATAATCATAAAACAGATGTTATCAGCATATATATTCAAATATAAATATTTACTGTGATATTAGACGACTATTATCTCATACTTAAATAATAAAAAAAAAAAAAAAATATCTACAAAGAAAATATATGACATTCAGGGTTTAACATCATTGGAGTTTTGAGATAAAATTTAAGTGCATTGTTCCATTTTATGGCTCAACATCAGTGGAATTTTATCACTTTAAATACGGCATGATGAAGATCTGAATTTGTTGTGATTATATTAATGAAGGTGTATGTTATAGTAGCCGTAGAATATGGCTTGATAGTGAATCCACCCAGATACTTGAGGGTCATGATTTCTGCTTATTACCAGGCTTGTGTACAAATTTCTTAATTTTTAAAGGTATGTAGCTATTTTTAATAAATGAAGTGATTTCTGGTCAGTTTCATGTTAATTGCATAATAAATCGTGTAGTGCTCGAAATTTGTTGAAATTCGAATATGTTGTTCTACTGTCTATTTTAGAGGTCGTGTAAATTTTTCATAATTTTTGGACTCTGTTAGCTTATGTAAATAAATTATTTTGTGTTTCTGACAGAAATTGTTTCAATTGTGAAAAATGGGTCTGTTGCTGAAAAATTTTAATGGACTTAATGTATGAAAAATAACATAATTATTTATTTTTTACGTTTTATTATAAAATAATTATAAAGTTTGAATGATTGATTCTCTATAATTACTCAATCAAATCTACATATAAAGCTAAGGAAATTTGAAATAAAAGTTTCCACAATATCTTCAAATTTGTTTCCATAATCCCTAAATTTAGGGGAGTATAAATGCTGTATGATTTTGTAATAAATAAAAAAATACAAAAAAAATTCACAAATATAATTTATAATATTTTATTTGCATTTTTGATTACCAGTTTCTCTCTTTAATGGCCGATTTTAGGGTTTCTGGCTGATTTTTCAAATCAATTTGTCGGTAAAAGTCGAAGACAACAGAATTTTTGGGCGTAGAGAAGAAGATGGCCGACGGAGGGGATCAAGCACGGGGTCCGATATTCAGAGACATCAGAAGATATTACTGCGAGTACTGTGGGATTTGCCGATCGAAGAAATCCTTAATCGCTCGTCACATGTTAACGGAGCACGAGGTATGGTGTTTTCTTCTCTACTTTGGTAATTATGTATGTTGATGATGAAATTTTAGGGATTTCGAGTTTCGAATTTGGGAAGCAGATGAGTACTGGTTTGGGTTGTCGTGACGTAAAATTTTTATGTTTGTATGGTGTTTGTTGTTGTGTGATCCTGCTTGTTGCTTATAGGCTTTTCGTAAATTGTAGGAGAAAGTGAGGGAAAAGGGGGAAAATGTAGAAGAAGAGCATGGAAAAAAGCTGAATCTTTGTAATGAGTGCGGGGCAAGTTTCAGGAAGCCCGCCTATCTGAAGCAGCATATGCAGAGTCATTCTCTTGAGGTCGATTTTCAGCGGTTGCTTGTTCCTTTCACTGAACTTTTCATATCGTGTATTGATAATCCGTTTTGATTTTTTTTTTTTTCTTTTTTATCATGTGTATCCATATGCTTCGATTCGATCTGGATTTAGGCACTCCTTTGTTCTATGTCTGCTTTAAGCTGTAAATTTGCCTATGGTGGCAAACCTTACTTATCATTATTGTGATGAAATACATGTGCGTTGGCTTGTATAATTTTATTGGAAAAGTAGTTATAATGTTTGGTTGCTTTTTGGAAGTCCTTGTCAGTTCCGATGTATGCTTTGTCGAAATACCCGATATTTTCCGTATAATAAGGATATCTTAAAGTGTGCTTCATTGATTTTCTATGCTTTCTTTTTATTTTGTCTTTGCATATTTAGCCTTTTTCTTGACAAATTTGTTTTATTTTTCCACGGCATGATTGTTTATGTTATCTTTTCAATTGTAAACTTAAAAATCTTGCAGACTGAAATTAAGGACAACTTGATTTGTTGTTGGGCGTGAAGCATTGGATCCCAATTTAAAGACCTCCAAAATGCGCGAGGCACCAATTGCTTTGAATGGATCAGTATCAGGTGGGGGACCGCCTGTGAAGCTCCATCAAGTGAGCCTCCGTCACGCTTCGTAATTATTGAGGTTCTTAAGTTTATTTAGTTTACTTCTATTTTAAAGGCAACATTTTATTCGGTCCAATTCTTTTCAGATGCTAGTCATTTTTCTTTTCCTGAAAGTATATTTTCTATTACAGAGACCTTTTGTCTGCCCTGTGGATGACTGTAACTCCAGCTACAGAAGGAAGGACCACCTTGCTAGACATATGCTTCAACATGAGGGAAAACTTTTCATATGTTCTATTGAGAACTGCAAACACCGGTTTGCATATCAAGGTAATATGACACGGCACGTTAAAGAGTTCCATGTGAAACCTGCTCCTGCTGATGTTGAGACCCCAAAGGAATATGTCTGTGGAGAGCTTGGGTGTGGAAAGGCCTTCAAGTATCCATCGAGATTGCGTAAACACGAGAGTTCTCATGGTGAGTTGCTTATTTCATATGCAAGTTGGTGATATTTTTGGGTTTGATGAATCATGTATTCCTAATTCCTTGGAGGGTCATTATCCATAACAAAATATCCACCTTGGGGCATGTATGTTAAAATCGGTGGTGAAATGCCTTTAAAGTTATTTAGGGCTTGTTTGTTTACAAATAAATCCGCTCAAAATGAATTTTTTTAGTTAATCAGGGTTAATCTTAAAAAATGTGGTATAGTTAGTTGTTAGTGTGATTTTAAGTTTATATTAAAGTAATATTTAAAATAAAATAATGAAAGTTGATTTGATGTAAAAATAGGAGAGAGATGATGTGAAGTGATGGTTAGTTAAAATTATGTGAGTTGATGAATAGTGAATTAAAGTCGATGTGATGTGTAAGAATGATTGGTTTGTATTATAAAACCCACGGAGATATCCCATGACCACCTCTATTCTGATTATGACCTGACTGACCTTGTCTCTGCTGACCCCTTCCTCTCCTCTCTTTCAGCCGAGAAATAAGAAATAAGGACTGTTTTCTTCTTTCGACTGCCCTTATATTGAAAGTATTAAGGATAGTGGGGTTGAGTTAGATTTTGAGTATGGATTGAATGTGGAATAAAATATTTGCTAAGCAAGCATGCCCTTTAATATGTATGCAATAGATGCCCATCTGTTGACTATCTGATAGAAATTTCGACTGAATGCAGTTAAGTTGGACTCAGTCGAAGCACTATGTGGAGTTCCCAGCTGTATGAAATATTTCAGTAATGTGAAGTGCCTTAAAGAGCATATTAGGTCATGTCATCAGTACATCAAATGCGATAAATGTGGCCAAAAGCAGCTGAAAAAGAACATTAAACGTCACATGCGTTTACATGAGTCAGATGTTTCCCCTGAAAGAATCAAATGCTTGGTCGAGGGATGTTCACTTATGTTTTCAAACGTAATGTTTTCTTTCCATCCAAAATCTATTGTTCCCCTTTCCTTTGCTTGAAAGTTTTTTTAATAATCGTTCTCTGTGCAGACCTCAAATCTCAAGAAGCACGTCAAAGCTGTTCACTTTGAACTAAAACCATTTGCCTGTGGCATGCCTGGTTGTAGCATGAAATTTGCTTATAAGCATGTGAGAAACAACCATGAAAAGTCTGGGTCTCATGTCTATACTCCTGTAAGCTTTTTCCCTTTCTTTGGAAAAAACTTCTTAACCATAATGTAGCAACCCGCGTAATATTTCTAGATTATGGCTCTACTATGGTTATTCAGGGAGATTTTGAGGAGTCGGATGCACAATTTAGATCAATGCCAAGAGGTGGCCGGAAAAGGAAGTTCCCAGTTATCGAGACACTGTTGAGGAAAAGGGTTGTTCTGCCCATTGAATCTGAGTTTGATATGAAGTCGACTGAGGAAAATGATACTGTTAGTCCCATTATCTGCTGAATTCAGGAAGATGATCCAACTTGATCCTTTAAGGCTATAATTAGACTGTTATATTTTGTAATATAGTATTAGTAGTTTAGTATATAAGTTCACTTTTATAGAGAAATGTGGAAAGTAGTGCAAGGATTAATCTGTAGTAGTTTGTGCAGTGATTTTGATGTATTATCCGGAAACAACTAAACTGAGTTCCATGTTTTTGTCAAAAGATGCATTGGCTCCTGGTGATCAATTTTCATTTGCTCTCTATGAAGTGTTGCACTAGACATAATTTTTTTAGGGATTATTTCACTTATTTGTGATTAATGCTATGTAGTTATATTTACAATTCAATAATATCTGTTTCAAACAGATTATCACTATAATTTAAAAGAAAACAAATCATCATTTAAATTACCTCATGCATATCAACCATCTACTCTTAAAATAAGGTTGATATTCGGTAGACTCAACATTATTTAATGTTCATCCTCCTCTTTTTTATTTTTGAATCCTTTGGCCCAAATTGATGTGGAGATATTCTTGGGTCCGATAATGAATCATATAGAAGGGCCAGCACCTAATTTGATGTGGACCTATATATGTATATCTTTTAAAAAAAATGCTAGTTCATTGGCCTTTATGATGAAATTTATATCTAATGTTTTAGAACAGTTAGTATATAAACAAAATGATTAACGAATAATGAGTATATAAAACAAAAATATATCCAACCTTCTTATAATTCCATATAATGTTGTGCATGCGAGCCAGTTTATATTTAGTTATTTACAGCTTGTGAAACTCTAGATTTTATGTTAATCTTTGTGTGTTCTCCCATAATGGCCACCTCATGTGCCACAAGAACTCGCTATGTTCTCCCATAATGGCCACCTGATTCGTTGATCCTATTAAAATATAAAAAGGAAAATAAAAAAGAAAGTTTAAAATATTTAACTAAATATTTAAAGGTTGAGCTTTTGAAGAAGGAGCCGTGTGAAGTGAAAATCTTATGTCTAAAAAAATCATCCTCCTTAAACATGAAGTCTGTTAGAGCTCAAACGATAAGGTTTCCGGATGCTATCATGAATTGAACCAAATTGAAAAGTTCTAACTGTTAAACGAAATGAACTGCTAGTGAGCTCAGCTCGGCTCGTTGGGCCTTGAGTTCGGCTCAACTCATTTAATAAACGAGCCGAGCTCGACCTTGCTTAAAGCTCGTTTCATTACGAGAAGGGTTCGGCTCGCCTTGAGAAGACTCAAAAAGATAACTTTTATATAATTTTTTATAATTCAGCTCGAAACTCGAGATCGGCTCGTCAAATTTAACAAACGAGTCGAGCTCAATATCAATTTTTGGCTCGTTTACTTAACAAGTAATAAAATCCTTACATGAACATGAAAAAGATAATGAAGAAAACTGAAAACTGAAACTTAGAATCTGAAAAAACTTCTTTTATCGATCATATTTTTCTTACTTTACATTGATCTCTATTCATACATATATATACTACAACATCCTACAATATCAGGAAATAACTAGACACTATCTAACTTCCACTGCCTCTTAACTGCCTAATAACCGTATTGCATGATCTTGCATAATCATGCTAAAACTGCTCCCTCACACATGAATTTCCTGTTTTGCCCTTGATCACTTTCTTCATCAGGTTTAAGGTTTCTAACATGCCCCCTCAATTCTATGGAAGTCTTAGGAATAATTCCCAATCTGTTCTTAAGCTTCACATAGAATTGTCCACTTAAAGGTTTAGTCATAATGTCTGCAATTTGATCCAAAGCAGGCACATGTCTTACTGCAATCCTTCCACTCATTACCTTCTCTCTGATAAAGTGTAAATCAAGTTCAAAATGTTTAGTTCTAGAACGGTTCACTGGATTAGCTGATAAGGATACAGCTCCTTGATTATCCATCCATATAACTGCCTTTGTTTCACTTTTCATTCTCAACTCATACAAAAGTGATTCCAACCACATTATTTCACATACTCCTAGTGCCAAGCTCCTATATTCAGCTTCAGTTGAAGACCTGGAAACTGTAGGCTGCTTCTTAGACCTCCATGACACTAGATTCCCATCAAGATAGACACAAAGACCAGAAGTTGATCTTCTATCATCCACATCTGAAGCCCAATCAGCATCAGCATATGCTGTGATCTTGAAATTCTTGCATTTTGAAATTTTCAGTCCTTGATCAATGGTTCCATTAAGATATCTGATGATCCTTTTCACTGCCTTCCAATGAGTGTCAAGAGGATTTTGCATAAATTGACTCACTTTATTTACAGCAAAACTTATATCAGGTCTTGTAAGAGTAGCATATTGTAAGCTACCTACTATCTGCATGTATAAAACTGGATTCTCCATAGGTTGTCCAGAGAACTTTGACAAAGTTGGGGTGGAAACCATTGGTGAACTGATAGATTTTGCCCCCTTCATCCCAGCTTTGTCAACTAGATCAGAAATATATTGTTGTTGATTGAGAAACAATCCTTCTGAAGTGTGAGTGACTTGAATCCCAAGAAAATAGTTTAAAGAACCAAGATCCTTTAATGAGAACTGTGAATGAAGAGTTTTGATAAACTCATTGAGTTGAGAATCATCTGAACCTGTAAGGATAATATCATCAACATAAGCCATAAGTAAAATGCAAGAATGTTGATCATGCTTGATATAAAGAGAAGAATCTGATTTTGAGATGACAAATCCCATAGTAAGCAGCATGTCTGAAAATTTGCTAGACCAGGCCCTAGATGCTTGCTTTAATCCATATAATGATTTTCTGAGTTTGCAAACAAGAGGCCTTTCATTGCCAATTTGAAATCCTATAGGCTGCTCCATATAAATGTCTGCATCAATATCACCATTCAAAAATGCATTATCAACATCCAATTGCTTGATAGACCATCCTTTTGTTATGGCCAGTGAGAGAACCACTCTAATTGTGGTAGGTTTAACCACAGAACTAAATGTATCTGTGTAATCCAATCCAGGACATTGGTTGTACCCTTTGGCAACCAATCTAGCTTTGCATTTTGCCACTGTTCCATCTGAGTTCCTCTTAACCTTGAATACCCATTTGTTTCCAATGACATCTCTATCCTTGGGTATAGGTGTAAGATCCCATGTTTGATTCCTCATCAAAGCTTTATATTCTGTCTCCATTGCTTCCTTCCATTCTGGTATATGTAAGGCTTCCTCCACTGAAGATGGTTCAGTGATCTCCTTTGACACAGTATAGGAGAAGATTTTTGGTTTTCTAATTCCAACTTTAGACCGAGTAGTCATGTGATGAGTTCCTGCACCATGATTCATTGAACTAACATGTGGTGATGAGACAGATGAATTATTATGCTCTAAAGGTAAATCAATCATAATCTGCCCAATTGGAATAGAATTTGAAGTTTGTGAACTTGAGGTGCTGTTTGTGGGTTCATGATGAGGAGTTGATGAGGATCTGTGACTTCTTTGTGAAGAATGTGGCTGTATAGGAGAATGAGGAATAGATGAAGTTGGTGGATCATAATCCTGAATATGATTTGGATAAGTTAAAATTCCAAGTGGCTGGATTAAAGATGTGTTTTCTGGTTCTTGAAGCTGGTGTTTATGTGGTTTAGAAAAAGGAAAAACTGTTTCTTCAAATAAAACATCCCTGGTGGTAATGATTTTTTTATTTGGTAGTAAAATTCTGTAGCCTTTGTGTGAAGGACTATAACCTATGAAGGTTGAAGGTAAGCTTCTAGGTTCAAGTTTGTGCTTAGTATATGGCCTTAAGTAAGGGTAACATAAGCAACCAAAATTTTTGAGAAATGAGTAATCAGGTTTGTTTCCAGTGAGATCTTCAAGAGGAGTTTTGTAACTTAGAACCTTTTTGGGTGTTCTATTAATGAGAAAAACTGCTGAGGTAAAAGCTTCATCCCAATATATCAAGGGCAAGGATGCTTGAGAGATTAAGGCCAATCCTATTTCAACTATGTTTCTGTGTTTTCTTTCAGCCAAACCATTTTGCTGTGGGGTATATGGACAAGAAACTTTGTGTTTTATCCCATTTTGGTTAAAGAAATCACGTAAAGCCACATATTCACCTCCTCCATCAGTTTGTATGGATTTTATTGCAGAGCTAAATTGTTTTTCAACCAAATTTTTGAAATGAACAAATGCTGTTTTTGTTTCTGATTTAGCTCTAAGTAAATAAATCCATGTAAACCTAGAAGCATGATCTATGAAACTTACATAATATCTAAAACCACAGTGAGATTTAATTGGAGAAGGTCCCCACAAATCACTATGAATAAGATCAAGAGGCTTGTATGAATCAGTTTCTGGAAGAGAAAAAGGAAGTCTGTGCATTTTTGATTTCATGCAATCTTCACACAATTTCAATTGTTCTTTCTCAGAAAAAGGAATATTACAATGTGTTAAGGCCCTTTTTACAACATCAAAAGAAGGGTGCCCCATTCTAGAATGCCATAAGCTTAAGTCTGCTTTATTGGTGATCTGGGCATGATTATCACTTGATTGAAAACTAGAAGAAAGGTTTTGATCTTGAGATCTGAAACAAGCATCCTTGCATTGATTGAGTTGAAAAGTATAGAGGCCATTCCTAAGTGTCCCTTGGAGCAATATTGTTTGGGTTTCCTGATCCTTCACAAAACATGTCAAGGGGTGAAATTCAAAATAGACTTTATTGTCTTTAGCAAACTGAGAGACACTTAGTAAATTTTTGGTGATTTGTGGGACATGGAACAATTGGTTTAACATGAATACTTGGTTATGATTATGGGCAGATGTTACAAAAGATTTACCTAAATGAGCAATTTTCATACCTGTCCCATTAGCCATCTGCATAGTTTCTGAACCTTGGTATTCTGATCCCACATTGAGATTGTTCAGATCATAAGTTAAATGGTTCGTTGCCCCTGAATCTGGATACCACCATGTGTCTTGTGCTCTTTCATTATTCTGAGTGCCAACATGAGAGCCAATACTAGCAACATGAACTGAGGGATTTGGATTTTGTCCTTGATAATTATAGCTCTTGTTTGGATTTTGAGCTGAGCTGTTAGAAGTGCTACCATGGACTGTATAGTTACTATCAAACCTGTAGTAACACTTATCAGCAGTGTGATTATTATAACCACAAATTTGACACCTCTGTTTGTTGAAACCAAATCGGCCACCTCTTCCTCTATAAGTTCCTCCTCCTCGTTGTACTGAGCTTCTTCCTCTATTTCCTTGGAAGTGAAATGACCCTCGACCTCTTCCTCT